TTATTGGGAGGGAAGCACATTAATGGGGGGGTTTAAAAAATTTCGGCTGCCAAAAAGATCTGCAATACCTCATCAGGGTTTTCCACCTCCCAGTTCCCTCATCAAAAATGCACTGTTCACTCGTACCATCGTTTCCCCTTTGGGATTTTCAAGTCCAGACCCTGCATTTTCCATTAGACGGGATGATTTTCAAGTAATGGAAGTCTAAGGAATGGATTTGTTTATTGTAAAATACAATGCTGTGTAATAATCAGGGGCGGACTGACAACCAGGGGCCCCCCCAATAGGGCTCATGGGGCCCCCCCCCCCCCCCCCCTTGCCCCCTTCCCCCAAACTCAAAAAACCTAGAAAAAGGACCAAAGGGGCATCTCATGGGGCCCCCTACGACCCCGGCCCAGGGGCATCCCGATTTTCCAAAGGTCATCCGCCCCTGGAAAAAAAAGCATTCCGGCGTCCTTACAGGCTTTTGTTGGGTGCTACTAATGCCCACCACAAAATCTTATTTGTTATTTGAGGCATCCCTTCCAGGTTCCCACACATGGAACTGGACAGGGATGCCTCAATAATTAAGATTTATGTGGTGGGAAAACATTTCCAGGAGTCACCCAACAAAAGCTTGTAAAAGACATGCTATGAAATGTTCTTACACTTAGTGGTGGTTCTTTTATTAAGGGAAACTTGCATGTCCGAACGGGAGAAAATTGCGTTGGGCAGTCAAACTGCTTGGAAACGCAGCAATGCTCACCACTATACTACCTACGCATGCCTATGCTGAAAGGTGTGCTTACTATCTCTGTCAATTAAATGCAAACACAGACACTGACTCCACCGACCGCCCCAGCGCAAGTCAATTTGCTGCTGTACCAATTGACCACTAGGAAGACCAGCTAAAAACATTTTGCCATTTGTGGAGAGAAAGGAAGAGAAGCCAGTAGATATTGTAAAGGTGTGATGACCCTGAAGTCCATGAGTTCTGCAAATAGCAATCACTGGGCCAAAACATTGCAATTTCATACAAGGAACATGGGACTTGAACCCACAACCCTGAGATGAGGAGTCTCATGCTTTGCTCTCTGAGCTAGCCAGTCCACAGAGCTTTAAAGTGTTACTAAACCCCACAACAGTACAATCAGTCTGTATATGCAGTAAAGCATGCTTTTTATACTCACTGTGGAACCTAAGGGGTTACTCATTTTCCACTGTGTAAAAAGGCTATTTGATGCCTTTCTTCTCTGTTCCTCCCCTTTTTCAAGTGACCACCTCTTATCTCCAGACTGAAAACCGTAGGCATGCACATGCTCAGTTTGGTTTGTATGGCTAGAGAGGTATTATTTTTTTCTTGGGGGGAGTGCTTGTGATCTGCACAGGGCCAATCAGAACTATCCAGACAGAGGTCAGGGATTTCCATCCTCCTAGAAAGAACACTCCAACTACAAGCTTTAGCTAGTGCTAGGCTGGACACTGATAGAAGTCACAAGACTGCTCTAACTGCTGATGAGAAAAGGTATTTAGCAGTTTATATTTACTAAAAAATTTGATTTCCATGTTCTGTGTTACTGTGGGAGACCAGAATATAGTGAATGTGGGGGTCTGGAAGACCAGATATAGTGAATGCAGGGTCTGGGAGAGCAAATATAGTAAATGCGGGGTCCAGGGAGACCAGATATAGGAATGCAGGGGGGTGTCTGGGGAGACCGGATATAGTGAATGCAGGGTCCGGGGAGACCAGATATAGTGAATGCAGGGTCCGGGAAGAGCAGATATAGTGAAAGCAGGGTCCGGGAGACTAGATATAGTGAATGCAGGGTCCGGGGAGAGTGGATATAGTGAATGCAGGGTCCGGGGAGAGCGGATATAGTAAATGCAGGGTCCAGGGAGACCAGATATAGTGAATGCATGGTCTGGGGAGACCGGATATAGTGAATGCAGGGTCTGGGGAGAGCGGATATAGTGAATGCAGGGTCCGGGGAGAGAGGATATAGTGAATGCAGGGTCCGGGGAGACCAGATATAGTGAATGCAGGGTCCTGGGAGACCAGATATAGTGAATGCAGGGTCTGGGGAGAGCGGATATAGTGAATGCAGGGTCCGGGGAGACCGGATATAGTGAATGCAGGGTCCTGGGAGACCACGATATAGTGAAAGCAGGGTCAGGGGAGACCGGATATAGTGAATGCAGGGTCTGGGGAGAGAGAATATAGTGAATGTGGGGTCCGGGGAGACCGGATATAGTGAATGCAGGGTCTGGGGAGACCAGATATAGTGAATGCAGGGTCCGGGGAGACCAGATATAGTAAATGTAGGGTCCCGTGGAGAGCGGATATAGTGAATGCAGGGTCTGGGGAGATCACATAATAGTGAATGCAGGGTCCGGGGAGACCAGATATACTGAATGCAGGGTCCGGGGAGAGCGGATATAGTGAAAGCAGGGTCCGGGGAGACTAGATATAGTGAATGCAGGGTCCGGGGAGAGTGGATATAGTGAATGCAGGGTCCGGGGAGAGCGGATATAGTAAATGCAGGGTCCAGGGAGACCAGATATAGTGAATGCATGGTCTGGGGAGACCGGATATAGTGAATGCAGGGTCTGGGGGGGAGAGCGGATATAGTGAATGCAGGGTCCGGGGAGAGAGGATATAGTGAATGCAGGGTCCGGGGAGACCAGATATAGTGAATGCAGGGTCCTGGGAGACCAGAATATAGTGAATGCAGGGTCTGGGGGAGAGCGGATATAGTGAATGCAGGGTCCGGGGAGACCGGATATAGTAAATGCAGGGTCCTGGGAGACCAGATATAGTGAAAGCAGGGTCAAGGGAGACCGGATATAGTGAATGCAGGGTCTGGGAGAGAGAATATAGTGAATGCAGGGTCCGGGGGAGAGTGGATATAGTGAATGCGGGGTTCGGGGGAGAGCGGATATAGTGAATGCAGGGGTCTGGGGAGACCAGATATAGTGAATGCAGGGTCCGGGGAGACCAGATATAGTAAATGTAGGGTCCGTGGAGAGCGGATATAGTGAATGCAGGGTCTGGGGAGATCACATATAGTGAATGCAGGGTCCGGGGAGACCAGATATACTGAATGCAGGGTCCGGGGAGAGCGGATATAGTGAATGCAGGGTCCGGGGAGAGCGGATATAGTGAATGCAGGGTCTGGGGAGACCGGATATAATGAATGCAGGGTCCTGGGCGACCAGATATAGTGGAATGCAGGGTCCGGGAGAGCAGATATAGTGAATGCAGGATCCAGGAGACTGGATATAGTGAATGCAGGGTCCGGGAAGAGCAGATATAGTGAATGCAGGATCCAGGGAGACCGGATATAGTGAATGCAGGGTTTGGGGAGAGCGGATATAGTGATTTCAGGGTCTTGGGAGACCAGATATAGTGAATGCAGCATCCGGGGAGACCAGATATAGTGAATGCAGGGTTTGGGGAGAGCAGCATATAGTGAATGCAGGGTCTTGGGAGACCAGATATAGTGAATGCAGCATCCGGGGAGACCAGATATAGTGAATGCAGCATCCGGGGAGACCAGATATAGTGAATGCAGGGTCTTGGGGAGACCAGAAATAGTGAATGCAGCATCCGGGGAGACCAGGTATAGTGAATGCAGCATCCGGGAGACCAGATATAGTGAATGCAGGGTCCTGGGTTTAGTAACACTTTAACTCTTCATTGCCTTTTACGCCAACTGAGTCTGAACACTTTTCATTAGCTTTCTTCAAGAACCTGGAGCACAGCATTTGTGGTATTCAAAAAGGTATTGATTGCCATTGCCCCCAGGAAAAAAGCTCTGTAATCTAATAAACACAAAGTGTCTTGGGTGGGACGAAGCCTTCAATCCTCTGTCCAAGTCTTATTGGAGACCGGCAGTTTGGTTAAATGTATAAATGTGCACACTCGTTTTAAGCAAAGCTTGGGTAAATCTCAGGGCTCCAGCCATGAGTGAGGTGTGCTCCCATTTGAAGATAGGTGTGTGTTTATGTCTGGAGACTGAGGTGCTCAACTCTAAAGACAGCCCTCCATGTTAAAGAGATTCCACATGGAGCTTAGATATTTCAGATGGCTAAGGGAGTCAGGGAGACTGAATCAAATAAACTTGTGACACACAAATAATATAAACGTGCCAAAGCTGTGCTCTTCCAACAGTGCAATATTTTGTGGAAAAAAAACATGTAAATATATAAAAAAAATATATAATATAAATCATAAGGTTAATATAAAGTCCGCTCCGTGCTTGCAATCTTGCTAGTGACTATAAAAAAATGTGTCAGGGATCTCCTCGATCCCCGCCGCGATGGTTTTATTAAGTGCACCGCCCTGATGCAGGGACATGGGCACTAGGTCCGGGCCGGCCGCGGCGTTCGAGTTCGCACATGCGCAGTAGAAGCCGTGGCCCACCCGCTGGGCACCAATGGCCCTGAGCTGTCATTAAGTTGCCTTCTGGTCTTACCTAAAATTAAAAATCCTGTGAATCTAAAACATGTACCTAGTAAGTTATTTGACCCGGATTGTTCTTGACCTGCTGAATTTTTCTCCTGCCCAGAATATTGCTTTGCCTGACCTCTCTTCTAAATAATGCCCCTCATTATAAATCTGACCTGATGTTGCTGACCTGGCGTTGTGACCCGACGATTCTCTGTCCGCTCTCCCTTGTACCATACCATCCTCTTCGTTACCGACTCGGCCCGTCTGACTTCGCACTTGCTCAGCCAAGATATCCATCCCATCGGGGTCACCCATCTCCTCATATCTGGCTCTCCCTGGTTGGAGCCCTGGCAAACACCCCTACCACTGACAGGTGTGCTCAGTATATAAAATGGTCTTTAGTACTCCAAGTCCATCCCCACCATCAGGGGCTCTGGTGAACAAGTACCCTGGGACTTAGACTCCCGCGCTTAATAAATACGCGCCTGACCAGTGGAGTGCTAGTGGTGCCGCTAGGCGGTCCCTCACAAAATGTACCGTGCCACACTCCCAGTGCTCAAGGGTAGATGTGCGCTCTACCTTACCAATTAGCCAAACTAAGTGGCTAATATCGCTTTTTGTCCAATCAGGACTCAAGGGTGTTTTCCATGCTGAATGCTTATTTCCCAAATTCAAATGGATGTGCTTGTATTAACCGCTTTTCTCCCACCTGGGGTCTCCCTCACTCCTCTTCTATCCACACTGAGCCTCGGTGGATGGATGAAGTGAATCTGTGTGTAATTTCCACCTCCCGATATTGTGGGATGTCATAGAAAAGGGAATGACAATAGTGCCTTATCCTTTAAAATTGCTTTTTAAAGAGCTATAAAAACTGGTCTTCCTTTTTGATTACAATATCTAAAAAATTGATTTCATCTTCACTAACATTCCAACTCAAACTTATGTTATCTCTATTGTAATATTAAGAAATCATAGAATAATTCTAAGCTTTCTAATGTCACCATCCCATATTAAAATAATGTCATCAATATATCTCTTATACAGTGTTATTTCCTTCCTAATATTTTTATAAATAAATTCCTCCTCCCACTTCGACATATACAAATTGGCCACACTTGGGGCAAACTTAGCACCCATTGCTACCTGTATGTAATATTCTTTATTATACCAGAAGTAGTTATGGCGGAAACAAAATTTTAAAACTTTTTTTAATAAATTTTTTATGTTTAAAAAAATGCTCGAATGTTTATTTAGAGCCCACCTTACTGCCTCTACTGCTCCTCCATGATCTATGTTAGTATATAATGAGGAGACATCGGCTGTGCTCATAATAGTATTGACATGTGCCTGTATATTTCGTGTTAACTGTATAACATGCTCGTATCTTTCAAATACGCAGAGGTACTTTCTACCAGGGGTTGTAGAAAAACTATCGATGTATTCTCCTATTCTTGATGACATTGAATCTATACCATTAACCATTTACCGACCGGCCGTTGTATATAAACAGCCGGACGGTGGCAGTGCAGGGTCGGGTGGCCGTTTATAAACGGCCTCCCCGCACCCTGCTTGTGTACGCATCCCTGGGAGCGCGCAGCACCGCGATCCAGTGCCCGCTGTGTCCTCCGGACACAATAAAAAAACCGATCGTCGGACGGGACCTCTGTAAGAGGTCCCAATCATGTGATCACTGATTGGCCAATCAGTGATCACATGCAAAGTAGTAAGCAAGATGTCACTTGTGACATCATTGCTTACTACGTGTGAAATCTGTGAATGATCACAGAGGTCATATGGTACAAGGCTATTCACAACAGCCTTGTACTATGTGACAAGGTGTGACCAATCACAGCTCACTCAGTACTTCTCAATGAGTGCAGGAATGCACACAGAGAGAAGGAGAAATGATTGCTTTTACATCCTATACGGGTTGTAAAAGCAATCAGTGTAAAAAAAAAAAAATCTTCGGCACCCCCCACAAGTAGTACAGTGTCATCATGGTGACACTGTACTGCTAGGGTGACAGTATGTAAAAAAAATAATAATAATAATAATAAAAAAATAAAATAAAAATTAAAAAAAAAAAAAATGTTTAAAAAATTATAATTTTTGGTATATAAACTAATTTTTTTTACTAAAAATATAACGGAATAAATTTTTGACAAAGATTTATGATGAAATATTATTTATTTGCAAAATTTATAAAAAAAAAACACTTTTGTTCAAAATTTTTGGACTTTTTCATTTACATAGCAAAAAAAATTTTAAAATCCCAGCGTGAATTGAATAAATACCACCAAAATAAAGCTTTATCTGTCTCAAAAAAATGGTAAAAAATTAATTTTTTGGGTACAGTGTTGCATGACCGCGCAATTGTCATTCAAAAGTGTGATAGCGCTGAAAGCTGAAAATTGCCCTGGTCAAAAGGGGGTGAAAAGTGTCCGGACAGGAAGTGGTTAATAATAGGGCGTCCTGGTGGATTGATACTGTCTTTATGTATTTTGGGCACTGAATATATAACTGGTAGTTTGCAAACGGATGGTACAAAGATATTTTTCTTCCTTATTATTTAACACGTAAATAACTCCTTTTTTAAAGCTCCATACTTTATTAATTTAACCAGCTCTTTTTTATATTCTTTAGTAGGGTCTCTAGTGAGTTTCTGGTAAGTATTTCTATCACCCAACATATCTTCCATAGTGGCTTCATATTGTTCTTTAGACATGACCACTATGCCCCCCCCCCCCCTTATCCGCTGGTCTAATTACCAGATTATTTCTACTCTTCAAACTATTTATTCCTGAAATTAGATAAACATCTCAAAAATATTAATTCCCCAGATACTTAAATTTATATATAAAAAAAGCACCTAATTTATGAGATAAACTGGTAAAAAATATTTTGGAACCCCCTAGACCAAATAATAACCCCACCTTTTTTTCAGGGTAAAGGGTTTTATGCATGTGGCAGGTGCTACGTTGCAAGAGAGTTAAAAACAATTCCAGACGTAGATTCACATTTTCTAATAAATATGATAACAAAGAATATAAGATTTAACAATTTATCTCTTGCGAAACAAAAGGTGTATATATATGCGTTGAAGGTTGCCCATGTAATTTAATTTATATAGGAAGAATAAAGAGGGCACTGAAAGAACGCATTAAGGAACATGTGTATAACATCAAAAGAGGGTATAAATATCCACCACGTCTCTCATCATTTTCGACAACTCCATAGAAGGATGCTTCGGGGCTGCAGTTCTGTGGTATAGAAAAACATAAAAACAGACATTGGAGGGGAGACAATCTGGTGATAAAGAGATCAGCAAAAAGGAATCTAAGTGGATCTATGAAATTAGGTGTTTAGCCCCCTATGGTTTAAACAAGAAATTCGATTTGGCTTGTTTTTATTAGTAACTATTAGTATTACATTTTTCTAAATCATTTTTAACAGAAAATTAAAAAATAAAAATATTGGTATTATATTGTAACATTATTGATTTATTATCTATTTAAGGTATTTTTTTATTTTTTATTAATTCTTCATTTAATTTTTATGCATTTTTATTACTATTTATTATATATTTAAGGATTTGAACCTTGATCCATAACAATGATTAAGCTCAATAATATTTTGGGGAGTAGTGGTAGGATTATCAGAATATAGGTGCAAAATTAGACATGATATAAATTATTAATATACAGGGAGCTTCTAAAATTTTTAAAATATTTTTAACAATGTGTTGTAAATGAATATTTATTTTTTAAAACGATTATTTGTAATCGGGAAAAGTATTGATGTTATAATAGGATTAGTGTACGTCATTCCTTTTCATTAATAACGATCAGTCATTCATATTAAAAATATAAAAAAATAGTAAGCAATAAATAAAATATACATGTTTCATACATACACATACAGTGGGGATTGAAAGTTTGGGCACCCCAGCTAAAAATTTGTATTAATGTGCATAAAGAAGCCAAGGAAAGATGGAAAAATCTCCAAAAGGCATCAAATTACAGATTAGACATTCTTATAATATGTCAACAAAAGTTAGATTTTATTTCCATCATTTACACTTTCAAAATAACAGACAACAAAAAAATGGCGTCTGCAAAAGTTTGGGCACCCTGCAGAGTTAATATCTTGTACTGCCCCCTTTGGCAAGTATCACAGCTTGTAAATGCTTTTTGTAGCCAGCCAAGAGTCTTTCA